TTATTGTACTGTTGGAAAGAAAACTTTTATTAATAATCATAAGTAAGACATTTTAATTGTGAAAGAAAAAAAATGTATCAAATATTTTTAAGTTATTAACATTCAAACGTCATAAATTACTACGAAAGTGTATATTTCTTACACCTTAGTGTTTTATGATGAGTGTGATCATAAAAGTGTTTTTAACATAAGTTCAAACAGCGTACAACGACTCACGCTACTTTTGATGGTGCATCAAATGTATACACAAGAGTCATTGGAATGCATTTTATTTTCGTGAAATAGGCAAGGCGGCTGGGCGATGACTAAATAATGACCAGGATAACGCAGTTTTATTGCCGGCGCCGTGTTGCGAATATATAAATGAACCCTCTAGGGAGTGTTAAAGACGCCGCCAAAGAACTCCTGTCGAAACAAGTCGGGCTCAGAGAACTGGCGCCGTAAACCACCCTATCCGCTGAGACGTCATTTTGCTCTTTGTACAAAACTGCTGTTTGGAACACAAAAAAATAATAAGAATACTATATTTCTACCAACAAGCCAATTTTCAGCGTCAACCGACATTGTCAAAGTTTCTAAGTTGTTATTCTTGGCAATTTATGTTATTGGCTTGACAATATACTAATAACGGCATCAATCATAATTTTTGAGTTTCTGGATAAGAGTTAGGAAGCGTGATCATTGTTGAACCAGTTTGTTTTACGGTCCTACTAAGTGTACTAAATAACGGTCACTAAACTGATGCCTATATTGATCTCAGAGAGATGATATAATTAGTAAACAATTCTGAACTATTTAAAAGTGTCTGAAAGTAAAAATATTGAAAACTGAAAAAAGTTAAATAAATTGCTTACGAAATAAATAAGAGCTAAGGTAGAGTATCCAAATTTAAACAAGTTTAGAGAATAACGAATAGCGAGACAGCAGAAATTAGTTTATTTTATGTATTTAATTATGCCAGTTTTGTGCACGACTCGAGTTCAAAATGTGATTTCACGGTGTTAAAATATTAAAACTTTAATTGTATTCCGGCGCCCGACTCCATAGCCGTAAAGAAGCCAGCGAGGCGCTCCGTTGATACACTATTAATGCAATTGTTCGAAAACAGCGCGGGGCTATAAAATTTAGCCTTCAGGTAGAATATTCCGCACCACTTCGCAGCCGTAGCCATAATTTTTCGCATTGCGGATTTCAGGTAAACGTATTTCATTACTTCATTTTACGGTTTTACGACTAATGAGTTTGTTTTAGAGATTCGAGAATTTTTAATAATAGATGGTGTAGAGACTATAAATAATAATATTACTCGATTCTCATATTATTTGCTAAACGGTTAAAAGAAGGCTTTAATGTGTGTACTTTTTTACATCTATATGTATCTGTACATTATACTGGAATAAATATATCCGATTATACATCTATTTTAGCACCAATTCATAGTAAGGCAACAATAGTCTTGTCAGTGATCCTAATAATAATATACCAAAAGACTGATATGGTACGATGCTGTACGTCGAGCAAAGTTTGATGACATTGTCATCCCACAGGACAGCAGTCTCTTGAAGGCCGAAAACAAAAATAAATAAAACATTTGAGCTTGTCTCTGTCGCTTTATAAATCAACTACCATCTAAGGAAATTTCTTTCTCTGGAACCTCCGATAACTTTTGATAACTATTGCTCCCCGTAAATGATGATGGTGTGTCACTATTTGTTATTTTTGTCAATTATTTACCCTGTAGCAGGAGACATTATACATCCCTATATTGGCGGTTAGAGTCATACGCGGTTACCGCACCGTTTCGACGGAGGCCACGTGCCCGTGGCGGCGAGGCGGCGTGGCCGGTACTCAACCGTGGGATTTCTAGGCGGAAGTGCTCGCCGAATTACATCGGCGAACGACTGAGTTCCGGGCGGTTACCGGCAGACGGCCCCCGCCCGAAGAGATACGCGAGTGTCGTGAGGCCGCTCGCCGAACCTCGATGGCTCGTTGGCCATACCGGCTGGAGACTCCACGTGCTAGCTTTGCCGCTGTGGAGGCACTTCAGCCGGACATCATCGAGTGGGCAGGGCGGCACCACGGGACCCTTTCCTTCCTTTTCGGGCACGGCTGCTTTGGGAAGTACCTGCACTCGGTCGCTAGGAGGGAATTGAGTCCCGCCTGTCACCACTGCGATTGCAGTGAGGACTCGGCTCACCACACGCTGTTAATTTGCCCGGCTTGGGCGCCGCAGCGCCGGGTCCTCATTGCAGTCATCGGGGGATCGCTCGCTACCGGCCGTCATACGCTCCATGGCCAGTAGTGACAGATGTTTCACCGCGGTCGCATCCTTCTGCGAAGACGTTATCTTGCAGAAGGAGGCGGCGGAGAGGGCCCGGGAGGACAATCTCCACTCGGACCTTATCCATCGCCGGCGAACCGGACGGCGGAGGCGCGCTTACCATCGCTTTAACGGCCAGCCGCGAAGAGGCTACGTCCACTTGTGCTGGATGTCGCCTAAATAGAGAATGTCCCCGTAGGTGGTGCCCGCGCTGTTGCGGACAGGCGCTAGGAGGGGTACACAAACCACAGCATGTGGTTTTAGTCGGTACGATTCCGACACACCACCCCGCCGCAAACCCCGGTGGGGTGACGGCCCGAGGGCGTTTCCACAAGTAAATAAGAAAAACAAGGGGGACATTATACATAGGGTGCTTGGCTGGAAAACCTCCACGTGGTGCACGCTGGAAACGTTGAGCGCTGTTTTTTCCTCTGCCTTTTGGAGGAGAGCATGAGCATCCTTCTTCAGGTTGTGGCTTGGTCCAACAGAGCGGGTGTGTCTTTCGATTCCGCTGTTGGCTCTTCGCTCTTCGGAGCAATGAGGAGGAGAACCTCAATAAAGTGTCGCGAAGGCGGGACCCTTTCACGAGTCGGAGTTTCTCCGCTCCTAGCGGTGGAGAGGGTGAATGGGCTCGGCGCTCGCACTGCTACCGAGCGGACATTGGGGGACTTTGACTTCCTGCCAACGTCGGCAAATTGTAGTCCCGAAAGGAGTGCCATGGTTATGTCTCGCGACTCCGATCGGGGGCGAGAGTCTTGGCTTAGCCACCCGGACTGCGAGGAAGAAAACCTGGGTTGGGTGTCTCAGCGTCGGGTCCTCATTGCAGTCACTGGAGAGGATGTCTCGCTACGGGCAGGCTAGTGAAACTACTGTTGCGTGTTAAGATACTTACTTTATTAGTAAGTTGTGTTAGTATTTATACTCTATTATTCATGTTGTGAAATTATTACGGATTTATAAAATCATCATAATAATAAATAAGGAAATAATTTATGGTTAATGTTAATGAGGTGACAATTAATACATAATTGTAACAAAACAATGCACGTAATGTGCTAAGGCGCGCCATTGCGGGCTGGCGGGTTCCTATTACAGGCGCAGAGTGGTAGACAGTGTGGTTTTAGTCGGTCCGCTTTCGACACATCACCCCGCTGCAAACCCTGATCCGGGTATAGTGACGGCGGCGGTGACGAGGGGATCCACACGTAAAAAAAAGAAGGGGACATTATACATATTTCACATCTATGTGGAAGCTAAGTGGAGATTGTTCTGAGGCTTCTACACATAGATGTGTGAAATGTATGGAAAATCCAAATAAAAATATTTAAAATATATGAACGCAAACATATAGGTATTTGCACTAAGCAGAATTTGAATCCACAACTTACGACGCCATGGTAAGCGAATGCACTATAACGACCCTATAACAAGCACGTTACTGGACATTCAGGAGGAAGTATGCTGTTTTGTTAAAGATTGATGTTCGTATCTGTCCAGAAATGCGGCCGACAATAATTCAGTTAAAGCGGCCGAAAATAATGGTTGTTTGATCACTTCGTCAACTCTAAATAAATGAATTAAGGGTATCTTACGTTTAAGATATACAATAAACCCAATATGATCAAAATAATACATTTATTATCTACTTTTTTATTTAATTTACATTGACTTTAATAACATTATCTATACAGGAAGATATACATTATTTATTGATGCAATAATACTTATTTACAACAAGATAATACTAAATAACATTGTTACAAGATACGTCCCATAAAATAATGACTCAAATTACCATAATAACGTAAAGCATAATACATTTTCAAATAATATTTTATCACATTCCGCGTACCTACCATACATATCGTAAAATTTCTATTGCGATGCTTTGGCCATATCTTATTTATATCTTGCAAGAGTTATCTCATATCACTGTTGTCAGTAAATCTCAAGTAAAGCATTTCAGAGTATTCATTTCTCTGTTCGTAAAATGTCTTTGGATTTACACTGTGCTCTAATATATTAAATTTAATTTATTACTTGGACATGCCTGCAGTTTACGTCAACTTTAAATTCTTCATATCAGTCAGGGAAGGTAAGACAACTGAAACCTTAAGAATTTTATTTTAATACTTTTTACCAATAGTTTCAAAAAGTATAAATAATTTACAAGACTTGAACTCTTAATCTCTTATATAATAATAGCTCTTATTAGAATGGTTAAATTTGCACTTCTCATCCGAAAAGCCGATAATATTGAACAAAAGTGGTTTTGAGTCAGTAAGTACTAATAAATCAGTCAGACCAAACCAGTTTCTTTAAACTATTAAGTCTTTTTAACGTTTCCATAACAAATCGTTTAAATGCTTTAAAACTCGTAAAAATTTATTATGTTGTTGATTTGGTTCATTCATTTAAAATCACTACAAATCTTACAAAAACATTTTTGGTTATAAACATTTAACTATCTACATTAATATTAAATAACAAACAATCAAATTGTTTATTTAATCAGTCAACGACCACAAACCTATACAATTGTTTTAAATCTCCTTATTTGTTCTTTATTTTTCTCAGCATACTACATATACACAGATACATTCAGCCACTATGTCATGTTGAAAATTTATTTTCCATTACGGGAATGCGGTGCAAATCGTAATTCTTTGGATCTGAATTCTCATTCGCAGTACCATGTTGTTCTTCGCACTTTCTTATCAACTAACCTTCTGACTTCACCCGGCACCCCTCGTAGTGAATTATCTGTAATGAACAAAGATACTTCATAAGTAAAGAGAATGTTTAAGAATCAAAATTAAAAAAACCAACAGTGTTCACATTTATCAGACGTTGAAAAACAAACCCATTAAGTACTATAGAGTCTACCACCAATATAGAAGAAAGCTTTCATAAAGTATACCGAACACCATGAAATGAGAAACACAAAAGAGAAAACTTTGAGACCGCAATTCCAAAGTGTCTATATGCAGAGGTCCTCTGGGCACTGTCTACGCATATTTCGGGTTGATGGCCATCTACTCTTATGATTAAAGAACAAATAAATAATATTAAAAATTAGTCTAAAGCTCTGACTTTAAGAACAGGCTGAATTGTGTGAATATTTTTGTGCTATTATAGTTTTAACTGATGACAAAGTTTAAACGTTGGGATAGTCTGATGTTTCGATGTCCCAAGAGTTCACTTTAATCACCTTTAAAGTACAAGAAAGAAAAACATTTCTTAATAAATATTAACTTATAAAATTGGATGTGTATGGCTGAGAAAAGTTTGACATAATATAAGATTGACGTAATGTAATTTAATATATTGTATAAACTTAGCTTACACAAACGATGTATTGTAGCTACTTTTATAGCAGTATGAAAAAATTGTAAAATAAGAAATTTGTCATAAAAAAATTAACAATTCTGCACTCCCATAATACGACCGCAATTTTTACTCGTAAACCTAATGCTAGGCTTAGTGGTTCGCAAGTTAAACATTATAGAAATCATTAATTCATCATCATCATCAACAGCCTTTACTAGTCCACTGCTGGACACAAGCCTCTCCTTAGAAAGGAGGTTTTAGCCTACTATACCACGCTGGCCAGACGGGTTGGTATAGGGTTTGTGTGGAGGGGTGACGGTCCGAGGGGATTTCCACACGTTAAAAAAAAAAAAAAAAAAAGGGTTTGTGTCAAGTTTTCCTTCTCTGTGCAGTGTTGTTGTTCTGTATAGTTTTCTCCCTTAGTCGGCACTTACGACACCCACGAGAAGAATTGGGGTGGTGACACTCTGTATTCTTGATCCGGAAATCATTAATTAAAGTACTTGAATTTACAAAAATATTATAATCAATTTTGTACTAACAAAAGAATTGATTTAGTCAGTATGGTATTCGAGTTTAAATAACCCTCACTATTCCACATTCCAGGTTAAGGAAATCATAATTCATACAAATCATAATTCACTAAAACCATCGTTTTTATTTTAAAGTATTTATTTTAGGTATACAAAAGTGCATAGAACCATTCCCAAAGAGAAGGTAAACTCTCATTATGAAGTTTTGGAGTCCCTTCTCGATATAGAAACACAACACAGACCAGGGTAATTTTAGCTCTGACCTTTAATAGGGTAGAAACACTAAACCAGTTCATCCGCTCGTATTTATGAAGTACTCTGAAATTCAAAATAAAATATGACGTTTCATCCAGCTGTCCTAGTACAATTGTAAACCGTACTAAAATGATTCACGTGCATAGAGCACGAAAAAATGATTAATTTACCGGGAGAAATTCCAATGATTTTCGACTCAGAAAACACATTTCAATATTCGTTACCCCGTCCCTTACACCCTGTATAAAAAGCTAAATTATTTAACACTTGTCCAAATGCGAAATTTGCTCACAAACTGTACTTTAATATTACTATATAGACATTTAAAAGTTAACAGTCACTTTATAATTGGGTATTTCATATTACTATTGTTAAAATAGAATCTCCTTATGTTCAAAAATACTCTTCTCATAGTATTATTCCTTTTTTTAATGATCAAATTTGAAAGATTTTTAATTAAAGAATTTTTTTTACAGACCTGTCAGAGGATAAGACTAAGATAAATGTGCTGGTACCTACATAAATAACTGTACGTGGGCACACTTTGAAGTCGCTCCAGTATCTTATGAATCTGAGTTTCGTTAACATCGGTCAGTCAATTATAGATTTCCCGGACTAGTTTGTACAAGGATACCCTTTATGTCTAATAAATCGGAAACTATCGGAACTAACTTTGTGAATATTGGTTACTGACTGTCGTAATAAACTTTAGCCATGTCCAAAACATGTCTTTCGAAGTGATGGTAAGTTGTTAATAACTACATTACATGCTCTGTGTTGACTTGTTACTGTTTATAGTTATTAAACAAGTACAAACAGGTTCCTTTACCATGATAAAAATACCATCAGAAAAAACTAAATAACCTCCTTAGAAGTGTTTTTTATTTATGTATTTAATTAGGTAAATAAGTGAAGGACTTTTAACTTGTATAATACAAGTTGTGTAGCTAAAATGTCTCTGTCTATAAAATTGGTTTATATAATAGAAACAAACGTTTGTTGTGAAGCTCTGTGCTCTATCCTCATTTCCCTACTGTATGCTTATAACTACTGCAGTTTAGACACTTTCCAGAACCATTTATTTAATCAAATTATATTAAATTGGCCTATTACTCCTCATTTCTAAATTGTTAGTAAAATAAGGAGCGCGAGAAACACGGTTCGATTTTAAAGTGATGATATATAACATATTTAGAAAAAAAATGGGTTTGGTGATTGCTCGGGTTAAAACATCGTTTCGTTATTTAAAAAATGCTAGTTATTTCAAAAGGCATCATGCATCAAATACCTTATTCACCATGAAAATACATCTTATCGTATCGTAAGTAATTCTGCACATTGAAACCTGAAAAGCACCTACCAAAAACTAAATACAAAACTACATGCTCTGGATATGAAAATGAAGTTTAATGAGTTCATCACAATATTTTTTATAAAATACCATCATGAATAACAAGCATAGGTACTGAAAATGAAAGCTGAACATATTTTATGTGCAAACGTTGGTAGCGTGCCTATACTGACCTACAAAGCAATTCATTGGTGCAAGTTCACGACAACGAAACCATCTAACGGACCTGTGACAAAGATGTTAATTGTGTGTGAGTGACGGACATGTGTTAAACATTTCAGTGATAAACTTCATTATTTTGTAATACCTCACCCATAAATACAATGCCCTTATAATATTGTAAATCAAAGCACTCAAACATTATTTACACACGGTAAACCTTATTATTGTAAAAAATAAGTGATATAATAGGTATACACAATAAACCATAATAATACTGAATAAATTCTTTGGTGTGGGACGTAACTCATCATCAACTCAAGACTTAAACTTAACCGGTTATTATGTTTTAACCTTTTTGGAGTCGAGGCGTTAAAGTCTGATACTTATCCGGTTTACAAGAAACTAGCTAAGATAGTAATTTATTTTCGTGATCAACACCAAAAGGCTCACCTTTATTCCTACTATTAATCTTGTCAATTTTACATTTCATAGACGTGACATCTGGTCAGATAAGTCGATGATGTAGAGGAATTTTATGACGCATACATGTACCTAACTAGTCCGTCTTTTTATTTACTAATAATGCAATTCTATCGATATATCACATATATAGATAATATATATAGATAGTAACATAAAGTAAAGAGGTAAGTAAATAATTTATATATCAGGTAGGATGTCTTTTCAAGAAAGTTAGTTCTTAATCTCACTGACTTCAAGTCTGAATAGTCTGATGGCTGCAAAACAATTGCTTGGCTTTTCACACCTTAATCGTTAAGTGGCATCTACCAAAACTATAACACTTTAATATCACATTAAAGACTAACACGAGACAACACTTGACTTTGGTCTATATTTATGGCTACTAAACCATTTTTAATTTAACTCTCTCATCTTACATATATTTACATCTCTTTAATGCTTGTATTTTAGATATCGACCAATATGTTCATGGAGTACTCGGGAGTAAGCCCCTTGTGGTAACTTTACAACTGCACTCTAGTATAATAAATATTCAAAAATGGAATAGAATGACATTATCATTCTAGCAATGGCAAAAAAAATACGTAAGTGTCCGGTGAAAGCAATAAAAAAAGGTTTTGTTTTCCACTTTTCTGCCCTCTTAATTTTTTTAACTAAATAAAAAATACTTTTACAATTACTATACAAAAATAACATTTTTCTTTTCTAGCTATAGATAATGACAATTTTCATATTATACTTTTATTATCGTATGAAAATCATCAAATATAATTTTTAATGACTTTCTATAGGAATGAAATTAACTGCGTGCCTGTAAGGTTACTACAGCGTTTATAAACAACGTTACTCGTTATTTACCCTCAGCTGACAACATCCTTTCTGTTATACAAAACATGTTATTGAATACAATCATAAATCAGGTACTTACAATGAGTACTACTAGTTACATAAGCTTTGTTATTAACACAAAGTGTATTATGTGTGTATAAAAATATGGTATGTTATAAATTAGGACTGGTTATAGGTCCTATGTGCTTTGCCTCCGTTTGCGCAAGTTAGTCCGGTAAGTCACATAAAAAAGCAGTGCTATCATCGGAGTACTTACATTTATCGTCATTTCTTTCAGACTTGTTGGAATCTTCGCTGTTCATTGATACCATAGATATCCTTTTGTTCCGCTGCTGGAGAAGTAGTTCTGAAAATCAAACAAAGTTTGACTTAGTCTTTAGAAATATCCAATACGTATTTTGTCAATGTCTAGTGAAATATCATAAAATACCGCTTGCATTCGTTCACGGTATGTCTAAATTTGTTGTGTGTTAACAAATAAAATTGAAAAGCCTTTCTGCGATAGTTGAATTTCTAAGTAATTTCTCTTGCTTTTCTTCTCATTACTACTTTAAACAAGTAAGGTGACTATAACAGTGAGATGCTTAAATATATGTACGTACTCCCCAATCAACGTGTCGTGAAAGCACCACTGTTATCCGTAAGGTAAGAGCCACATGTCCTCTCTACAGCCACACTTGTAAAATAGTGTAATTCTCTACCAGTCTGTCTCACACAGAAGGAGAAGAGAAGAAATGAGAAAAAGCAGTGAAACAATATAAATATAACAACGTATTGTGATATCATTTTTCATCATTTTTACCCAAAAACATGAAAAATTTAAAAAAAAAAAGATTAATTTTGACTCAGTACCATGGCATGAATACACCATTTCAGAATTCGTTACGACGTACCTTACATCCTGTAAATACACATACATATATACCATAATATATAAAGAATCATATTTGTAATAATTCTGCTAAATTCTGGGTAAGGAGAGCTCGTACCTTTACCCTGAACGAATTACGACTGGTCGCCATTCTGATTTCTTGGGGAAGAGCATTCCAGAGAAGTACAGATTGAGTGAGAAAGGAAGAATGAATACACGCAGAAGTGTGGGAAAAGCATAAGAGTAGAAGATTATTTGTAAAGCGAAGGATTCTGTTATGATTGGAACACAGGAATCGGAAGGAGGATGTCAAGTATGTAAGCGAGTTAGAAGAGTTGATAATAGTGTGGAGAGTCGTTAATGCCGTAGGTGACGACGCTGACGAATTGGGAGCAAATTTAATTTAAGACGAAAGGAGGAAATATGATCATATTTACGAAGATTAAAGATGAATCGATTGCAGTTATTCAGAAGTCGGTCGTATTTGTTGAGAAGATCTGCATTCAGGTCGTAGTAGCAAACATCACCATAATCTATAATAGGTAAACTTAAAGTCTGTACCAACATCGCTTTAATCTCGGAAGGTAAAAAGTTCTTGATTCGGTATAACACCTTGAAACTTTCTGGGTGACACTAGTAACCTGGGTTTGCCAATTAAGATTGCTATCAACGAACAGTCCCAAATCCTTCAAAGTAGAGCTTACGGGAATGATTGACCCGTTAAATACTGCAGATGGTAGTTTATCTGGATCTAGCCTTCTGGTCATATGTCGACTGCCCAAGATGGTAGCCTGGCACTTTTTAGGGTTCACAGTCAAACCAAACCTGTAGGACCAACCCCTAATAGTCTCCAGATCGCCGTTTATCATAGCAACAGCCTCTGTTATATTATCTACAGCAGCATGGTAGTAAAGTTGTAACTCATCTGCATGAAGATATAGACATAGATAGGCATTTTTTTTTTTTTTTTAAGACAACGCCCGCATTAGGAATATATATTCCTGTGTCGCGGGGGACTTTACAAACATACATGAAACGGACACAAAGAACACCCAGACTCAGAACAACAATTTGTGGATCACACAAAGTGTTGTCCCATGTGGGGTTTGAACCCACAACACTCGGCGTAGTAGAAAGCGGCGTGGCAACCACTTAAACCACTACGCCATCCGTGCAGTCACCATATTGAAGATTATGAGTGATGAGATTAATAAAAATATAAAAAAATAGTGGAGAGAGAATATTATGATGCAAAAGATTTTGTATTTTATAACATTTACCATCTTTGAAACTAGTACCTAATTTAAATACACGTATAAAAATTCATTAAATTGCATTGCATTTTACAATAATTAATTATAAACATTACTTAAAACACTGTGTTAATTTCGGGAACTTGCTTTAATTTAATTTAATAATATTCTACAAAATAACTGAAATAAAATTATGTCCAAAATTCAAGTTATTAATTTAACATTAGATATTTGTTATTATCTCTCTTCATATTTAAGTAAAAAGAGAAACAGTGAACATAGACCAAGAAAGTCATAACAAATAATAACACAAATCTTAAATAAATATAATTTGAAAAAATAAATAGTAGCGTATAATATAGGTACAGTGTTTCTACGATTTTAGTATGTTCATTGAACCACCAGCACTCAATTCTATAAGTGGGTACTTTCTAACTCAAATTTCTAACTCAAGTTTCAGCGCTTTACAAATAACTCGGTCTTTGTTCTAAGTTTAACAGTAGAAGACATGACTATTTAAGTACATACTGGTTAATAATAGGTTATTAAATCCTATTCTATCTAATAACCCCTGGAAATGTTTTGTATGATTGTTTGACACTTTATTCGCGTTAAACAACTATCGATTTCCATATTGTAGCACAATGGATTAAAGAGGACATGGTTAATCAGTGAATCATCAACAGCTTTTATTAGTCCACTACTGGACATTGGTCTCTTCTTAGAAAGGAGGTTTTGGCCTAGTATACCAAGCTGGCCACACGGGTTAGAATAGGGTTTGTGTCAAGTTTGCCTTCTCTTCGCAGTAGTGTTGTCCTGCGTAGTTGCTCCCTTAGTCCTCCTTAGTAATCAGTGAATGATATATTAGAATAAAATAAGGAACCCCAATAAATATTGAAAAAGAAATAGAAGATAGTAATAAGATGTTGAGCTCATCTCAACATGTTAAGTGACAGTAAATAAATGGTTCCAATAAAAGTAAATCAGTTAAAAATAAATGCGAACACAATGAAAGACAAAGGTTAACATAATTTGGCTAGTACATGTATTAATTTCAGTATACGAGTAATGTACCTAATACGTCATAGTTAATGGCTGTGCGCATTATCACTGAAGTACTCGTATCAAATCGATGTGTCAAAATTGATTTGTTTCCCTGAATAATTGCATATCTATATCGTATCGAACCTGCAGTTTTAACGCTGTTTATAATGTTATCTAAAGTCACGTTTTATCTATTTATCTTTTTTTTTATGTTAGAGGGGGCAGACGAGCAGACGGGTCACCCGATGGAAAGTGACTATCGCCGCCCATGAACGTCTGCAACTCAGGAGTCACAAACGCGATGCCGGTCTTTTAGGAAGAAGTACGAGTTCTATGATCATTTTATTTATTTCTTTAACTCACATCATATATATGTAACATTTATGGTAAAATCTAGGTAATAACGTTCTGATATACATGCCACTTACGAGCTAATCAGCATATTAACAAAATCACATTGATATATGTATGTGTATTAAGAAACTTAACTTAATAAACTTAACACTTTCTTAATCTAGTGAGTTTAGTGTTTGTATTAACGATGCTGTAATAACAGTACGTACATACTTATCAGTTTAAATTTGGTTTAAATTTTGAGGTTTGCAAAATAATTTCAGTATTTTTACAAAGAGATTATGTTTATAAGTTATTAGATTTGTGAGCTTGGATGCATCGAGATTCCATAAAGACTGATCATGCGTATATTCAGACGTTTGACCCTAATAGAAAGCGTTATTGACATTATAGATTATTTTCTAATTTATAAATGTAAATTTTCAATAAGAAATCACAGTTTCAATTTAAAAGATGTCCTTTTGGTGCGTGTGCGATTAAATAAAAAATAAATCGTAAATATTTATAAGTGAACTAACCAAGATTCAATTCATTCAAAGACAAATGCTTTGGACTTAGACTAGTAATTATCCAGTTATCGATCAGGCTTAACCTCTGTAACAAATATTAATCGATCAAATCACTCCGATGTCCCGCAGATACACAAGACAGTAAAAATTTAATCTTATCGGTACATTGTTACGTGAATGATTATTATTTAATTAAAATGGAATGTCTTTTAAATTCGTGGAGGCCCAACTGGGAAAGAAATTCCAATGTTAGGAAATTTTCAATAAAATAAATTAATAGAATTCCGCCAAAAACATTTTCACGTAAAATGTTGCTAAGACGAGACTATCTGGCTCGCTCTGTCAAAAAGTTATCAGATCTCATGTAGAGCAAAACTTCTAACTCTACACGCCCTAACTTCAAAATCTCTTTGGCCTGGGTTTTTTGGCTATGTCTTGGCCGTTTCTAAATCTAGACATTATTCATTATTTTACTGTTATACAATATTTCTTATAGTAACGATTGCTCAGATGACGGGGAATTCACCGCCGTTTGCCAGTGCTAGTTTTGTTTTTCTCCTATACGATATAAATAATTTCAAAACATTAAGCTTTGTTGCGTCTGCAAGATGGCTGGCAGGAGCTGGATGCGAGAAGCCCAAAATCGACCTAAGTGGCGTGCAATGGGAGAGGCCTATGTCCAGCAGTGGACTGCAATAGGCTGGTGATGATGAATAAGCTTTAGTAATACTAGATATAGTATACTAGTATACTAATATATGCTACCATTTACTTCACAACTGTGTTAAGAAGTTAAGCTATTAAACAACATTACATAAAAAATTAACATTCAATGACAGACAGTAATATAAATAAATTTAATAAGTTATTTAATGATTGGAATCAGATTTAAATGATTCGTTTAACAGGACATAAATATGTAGAATACTTTAGTTGACAAACTCTATTCGTGATAGCACTATTATCTCTTTTAAGGCGCACCTGACTCCATTATACTGATAACAGTCCCGATAAAGCGTAACATTCCAGCAACGCATTTAAAGAATATTCACAACAACTTAAATGGTTTACAAACCCAGAATTGTCGTATGGAAAACAATGTCACCAGGAAAAAAATTTTTATGGTGACGCACATTAGTTATTGTTCGATTGCCGCGTACCAGTTCTATTTATTATGAATACAACAAAAAATTTAAACCTTTTTGCAACAAAATATTAGATGACTTGAACATGATTAAAGTACACTCACTAATTTAAGCTTTACGCACCGTGAATACGAATGTCCTTTATATTCTAGTTTATTTTTGTTTTCTTTCAAGAAAACCCCAGCAGAATGAAAATAGAATCAAATTTAAGCCATTCACATTAAAAAATTAGACAAGCGCTTTTACTCTAGAGAAGACTGCTAACAACTAACACTACTAGAGTTTTCTTTTGTATGTTAGAGGGCACAGACGAGCAGACAGGTCACCTGATGGAAAGTGACTATCGCCGCCCATGAACGTCTGCAACTCAGGAGTCACAAACGCGTTGCCGGCCTTTTAGTGGAACTCTATTTCGATTGAGGAATTGTAAATGTTATAAAAATGCAACTGCCTAATATTTAAAAGAATGTTACTACTACCCTTTGCCCAAGATGACATTCTAAATTAAAAAAAAAACAGTATATAAGAATTAACATGATATCATATATTAACATGATATCATAATTCAATAACAAAAAACCATATTACGGTGATGATAGTACGAACTACACACACGTATAATATACTTGACTGTTACGCAACAATATAGATCTTGACCAACTCTCTTCACATCCAATGGTTTAGAAAATATTCACTCGATTATGGGACAATAAACCTTAGCAGAACTTAATCAAATGCCACTATATTAATGTCTAAGAACACGCATGATTCCCCGTTTGTAATGTATGCATGTTAACTCGAACACGGTTCGAAGGTATTTTGCGATAGACAAAAGCCTATTGTACATTTGAGGAAACGGCAATTGTCGCTAAATAGCTTTGAGTAACAAAGAAAAGCGTTACAAGAAAGATTTAAACACCAGTTTACGCTTATCGGTGTAATCTGAACGAGAAATGTGGCATTGTAACTGCGACAGTTCAAAACGATCGTACTTTCGTCGCAGTATTCCCTTGTGATACTTCTATCTAATTATCCATAAGAAAAGGTTGTTTAAGTTAGATAATGCGGCCGCTCCTCAAAGAAGAATAAAGAATACGAAGATAAGAATCATCGGAACGTGTGAAACACATTGAAAAATATCGACTTAACGCTTAGTATTGTATTCTTCAGAATCAGTTAACACCGCGATCATTTGGTTATTCATTTTTATTTCCAAAACAACCGCGGGGTAGAATAACATCGAGTTCCTGGCGTTCCCACAGACAAGACGCAACATTCAGTGCACATGCAACTCGGCAACAACTGTCCAATAAAAAACTGTGTCGTCGACCCCGCGCCTCGTGCGTCACCCGATGATAAAGAACCTCGCTCCTTCCGTCGTCACGTATTGCATGGAGTACGGATAGTCACCGGGAGCAGATGACGATCAATTAAAAAGTTTGTTCGCATTAACTATGGGGGAATTAGTTTGGTTCGGCGTGCGTGCCAGATGGACCAGACTAATTTCTTTACGAGAAATAGTCTCAAGTAAATGTTAATGGTCTACTATTTATCTGAATGGTTAATTATAATACGTTGGCATTTTAATGTCATTAAGACATGATGCATTCAGTTCAAGATGCTGTTGAAGGGGTTACTGAACTAATAAATATGTGATTGGAAAATAAACCATCATTATAATAACTGATTTACAAGCGGCAATCACTTAGATAAACACAACTGCTTTCTCAAGAAGAGGATATACTTTAGCGCGTCGCAATGTTTGAAAGGTGACATAATTCCGTCACGCGACCAATGGACACGCTTTGTCTGTCACACCTTACTACGTTACACAACGACAAACAGAACACTTATCTTTGCACTTCACTATTGAATGTGGTGTTTACAATTACTATGAGTTTTATTTATGAGGTATTACACGTATGTGTAATAGAGATCGTTAAAACAAACGCATCTTGGCAAATAAACTGTGACAGTGGGCTTACAAAACAGACTGCTACATATTATTATGTAGTTAAAGCAAAACTGATTTGTTTATTGCTATTATTCATCAAGGTACACACAGGCACAAGTTTTTTAATGGTTATCAGTAAGAGCTAAGTAATATGTAATCGACATTATCCTGAAGTTAAATTGTGTGCATTTTTTCTACACCTTAATTTACAAGACCCGTTATTTTATAAGACCTGTGGTGTCCATGGTATTACCCTCCAGTAGGATAAACAATAGACGATAACAACAAGGTTGTGTGATTTTTACTGTATTCTAAAATATGAAGACATTTGCCTTTTGGAAACTTGAAATCGTTTTGAAGTCCTAAATGTGCATAATTTTGGTCCTTCTCACTTAACAAGGCCAGAGACCGTCAACTAGGCACTTTTTCAATTAAAAAGGGGAAACATAAAAGATAAGGAAAAAAGAGATGACGATAGGCAACACATGATCATCGCTAAACAAGTACTTAGCATAAAATATTAAGAAATAATACAATGACATCATACCTTTTTTCTGCATGGCCTGTTCCCATAGCAGTGAAGTGATGTCTTCGACCCAAGTTTCCCTTATCGTTGAGTCAGACGTCTCTAACTTATAAGACTTAAGGTTTCTTTTCTTGTACCAAATTGTAAACTTGTGATGGTCCTCTTCTTTCGCTGTTATACCTAGATCATCCACGGCTATGTGGTCTTTGTATATAAAGTACTCCACGGTGGGTTGCTGAAAAGTACAAAACAAAATATTTTTCATACAAAACAAGGCATTTTTACACTTAAACCACAATTTCTTTTAATTACAATTTGCATAGATATGTGAATCTGGATATGTTCTGCATCGAATATTATCAGACCTATTTTTTTAACAATAGCCAGAAAAGATCGTGATTTGATATACGAATTAATCAGGCTTAAGATTTCTAAAAGATTTATACCTGCCTATCCTTTTGTCAAATAACAACATATCATAACTTCTTGCAAACTCATTTTGTGCTTCAATCTAATTTTTAGCAGGTTTGGCAGATCATCATTAGACTTAACGCCAATATATTTTTTTAAACAGAATACTATATAAACGGCCATTCATTGTGGGTGTAAAAAAGTAACTATATTCCTACCAGCTAGACTACTGCACTAGAAACAACAATGGGAAATAATATCTAAGTTATTTTAGTATTTAAAGTAACTTCCCACAATATTACGTATATATTTTATCACTCAACAGCTGAAACCGCCGGTGCGTGATGAATTAGTCGTTCCACGGCATTGGCAAGGTCATTTAACTCTCGCCGGTACCATCGCTATTGTATACAAACTATCAACTGATTATTTCTTCATAATTTGTGTTTGTGTCTCACTATTTGTTTTCCATAACTTTATTTTACCTAATAAGGTCGGTAAGTAAACGAGGAACTAGAAGTGTGATCGTTCAAGTTCTATTAGACTGCCTACCTCATTCTTCTATGTTACTGTGAATGTTGTTTTAATTAAAGATATGTGCTGTATAGCAATTCTATTTTCAAATTGAAGATATGTGTGGGTAGCGAATGAGTATTATAGAATACAGATAACAACGTGGAAATCGTCGCCAGTACGTCGCGTCAGAGCAATAAACACTTCGTAACTTAGGACGCATAATATCTCATTACAGTGCAAGTTAAGAGCACTATGAGGCATATAAAGGACAGAAGAACAACATCCCTGTTTAAAACAGTATTTAATGATAAGATAATTATCGAAATATAATCATGCTGATAAAAAGTTCTTAGTCAACTTTTTATCAGCATGATTATATTTTTTAGCAGCATTTATATTTTTTGATTAGCAGAAACAGTCATTTTTTCGCAATTGGTTTTGGATAACGTACTATCCAACGCAGGTCCGTAGACCTGAAACCGCTTTGAATAAAAACCAACCCAAAAACTATAAAGAAGTTAAACGATCTATTAACAAATAATATAATACATTTAAAACAAAGCCGTCCTGGGTAGAACCTGTACTATGGTGACAAGACTACTGATAAACATAGTTACACAGTTCTACATACAGACACATTATAGATAAATTACAACAAGCATAGAACAATTAATTATGCTCATGACACCATTACTTGTCCTGGGTGGAAATCGAACTCAGGACCAGGCGCCAGAGACTTAGCAGCCAGGTTTACTAACTACCAGACAAACAGGCCTGTCAAACATTGAAAATATTAAACTGGTTCAGCCTGTTTTACGTTGTATCTACTAAAATAAACAATAAAAAATATATTTAATTCTACCCGTACAATTCAATAGTATTATTATTTGTTACTTATTTTCGTACAAATAGTATACTAGTTAACAATAGGTTTAAGAATAGTCCTTTGTATTTACAAAGGAGGAGGTTGCATTCCTGTAATTTTTATATTCTACTTGTTATATTTACTGCGAGTTCTTTGTTTAACCGCTTACAAATACTGGGCAGTGCTAGGCACTTTTGTATTTTTGAAATTATAACCGAAGCTATGTGCGGAATTCGTTGAACTTTAATAATTATTAAAAAAAAACGTAATAGTACTGAATTGGCAAATAATATGATGCTCCTTGAAGGTTTTAATAAGCCTTGTCCTGAAAACAGCTAAGTGAAACAATTTCGTCATTATTTAGTTTCTAGTTATTTTAATGTTATAATAATGTTTTTGTTATGTCAATTACTTCTCTTATAATTTCTCTTTTAATTGAATCAAAATAATATTTCATTACTTCAAATTTAAGTGAAAAATAGATGAATGACAATAATATCAACTTTTAATCAAAATGTCTTAAAGTTCGTTTAAAAAGGAGAACGGCAGATTCTGTACCCCTTTTTTTTTTTTTTTTTTTTTTTTTTTTCCGTGCGGAAATCCCCTCGGATACCACCTGTCGGTGGCATGTCGGACTCGAACCGACTAAAACCGCACGCCTTCGCCGGGTACTAATAGCCGGGGAACCAGGTATACCCTAGAAAGGAAGGCCCTGGTGCCCCGACATACCTCGGGTCATCTACAGACGAGTAGACGACCCCCGCCCCGTGTGGGAACCCCATGTTCCCTGTGCTCCCTGGAAGCGAGCGCGCTTCGCAACGCGCTCGCCGCCACCCCGGCCTGCTTCTGCTAGGGTGACAGATGGCCTCACCTGTCACCCCCAGGCCTGCGCTTATGGAGGACGGAGGTCGTTCTGCGACCTCCGGCGCCTGAGTCGCCTGCGCTGCCTGGCCCGTGCCCGGGCCTGGCGGGCCGGGAGAGTTCTAAACCTCTCCCGGTCCCGCTCCGCCGTCTCCTTCGCGAGCATAACTTGCTCGCAGAAGGAGACGGCAGAGTTCCACGCACTCTCGCTCCGCACGATAGCCGCAATCAGGCTATCGAGCGAGAGAACTCCCACTCCGATGGCCGCCACGAGGTCTCGCCTCTGCTCAACCCACGCCGGGCACTCTGCCAGCGTGTGGAGAGCCGTGTCCACGGTCTGGCCATCGCAGTGGTGGCACTCAGGCGTTGGCTCCTTGCGGATCAGACACAGGTGATCTCCGAAACATCCCTTCCCAGTGATCACCTGCGTCAATCGGTATGAGAGGGTCCCGTGACGCCTCTCGAGCCAATCCTCCATAACGGGTCTTACCGCCGCAATGACGGCGTGCCCGGCGCTCGGTTGCCCGAGTCGTTCCCTCCACTCCCCTATGATGACCTGGCGGAGTTGGGATTTCCGGTCCTCGATTTCTCGAGTCTCGGGGCATCGACCCAACTCCTGCGCCTCCTTGCGCCACTGATACAGTGCCGCAAGGGCTCTCGCCTCCAGGTCCCACGGTGGAGTTCCGGCCAGGAGACTCGCTGCCTCAAAGGAGATCGTGCGGTACCCCCTTATGATCCTGATGGCCAGCATTCGCTGCGGTCGTCGCAGTATCGCGACGTTGCTGGCCTTCAGGGCCCCCGCCCATACCGGGCACCCGTAAAGGGCCATGGACCGCACAACCCCCGAGTAGAGTCTCCTGCAGGAGTCATCGGGTCCCTTCATGTTGGGCAGCAGCCGCGCTAACGCACGCGCTGCCCCAACCAACTTAGGGACCAGACCTCGGAAATGATATCCGAAGTCCCATCGGCCATCGAGTACGAGCCCCAGATACCTGATCGAGGGCTCGATGCCGATGCGAGTGCCTCCTACCGTGAGGCTAGATCCCTCAGGCGGCTTCCTCCGAAGCCCGTGGAAGAACAGGGCCTCGGACTTGTGCAGAGCCACCTCGAGACCCAGCCGCCGGATACGCTCAACGACTTGGGCAACCCCGGCCGTGGCCCTCAGGGTTGCCTCGTGGTGCGTCTTGCCGCGCGCCGTCACGAGTGTGTCGTCCGCGTAGCACACGACGGCGACACCATCCAAGAAGGTACCACGAAGCACCCAGTCGTAGCCGATGTTCCACAAGAGTGGCCCTAACACCGACCCCTGCGGAACACCGCACGACATTTCACGCCTACCGAGACCGGTCCTACTGGGGTAGACGACGGCTCTCTCCGACAAATATGCCCCGACTATGCGGCGGAGGTAGAGAGGCACTTCGTGATACACGAGCGCCTCCCTGATGCAGCTCCAGGGCATAGTGTTGAACGCGTTGGCGATGTCCAAGGACACCGCCAACACCACTTCACCCCGATAGATTCTGTACCCCTAGTAATATATTTGATTATGAATTTTTTACCGTTTATAAAGATGATGATAATTCACATCCTAACTATTTTTATTCAATTATCATATTTCTAGAACTTTGCTAAAAGTAAATAAATTCTTCTCACAAAATTGTTATAGGTAACTACAATAACTAAACGTTTAAGCGTTGTTAACAAACGCATTCCTGCGTTTTCTAAACTGATTTGACAGGGCATAATTTTATTGACAGATCAAAACAATCATAAACCTATGATTTTGAAAGATATCTATGTTAACTTGTTGACAGCAATGACAACTCATTTGTGACAGCCAGCTGTCATTGGTATTGACTCTTCAGGACATCTTATATGCAAAGTACAAACTGAAATAACATTTGAACACAAAGTTCTAAAAATCTGGTAATTAAAACTGTAATTGTTGATGATATTACCAGCTAAATAAATACAACAATAACCCCTACCATGAGATACGCAAGGCGGTACAAAAGACCCATACATGCCTGCCATTGTCCTTTACTGCATCAAGTCGACACTTGGTAAATCAACTTTCTTTCAAACAACACTCCTTGTTGATGGGGTTCAAAACAGACTAATATTTGGAGTAACGAACATTGATACTACGAAATTCATGGTAAAAATTAAATTTTAGAAGGTAATAACATTTATGACCTAATTTACTATTGAGCGTATTCTCTGGTAAATACTACTAACTGTTTACAACATATTTTACGATATTCTATTATACGTGCCATCTCACAAACGAAGTTGAGTATGTCACAGAATCTGATATTATATTCAAATGATACTTTTCTCACATTTAAACACTTATTTGTAGAACAATAAAAAGCCCCAACTGATAATAAATTACCATTAAATTTGTCATAAAACGGTATTTCGTTCCTTATCATACCAGCCAGTAGGCACCGACTGCTGTAATTATAATTATATTACATTACAATGATAAATTGTGACTCACTAAAATGTGATTCATCATTACGATATCAATGTCCCTACTACCTAATACTCTTTATTTGTAAATAAAATCTTGACCTTTGAGATAATTTCGAACGAATAAAGGAGTTGTTTAATCCGCTAGTTTAAACTAAGATAATGATGTAAAAATTTACAGCTATAAACAGCAAAGTGCAGTCAAGTTTACATGTAATAAAAATGTCCTAATTTTACTAGGTCTTAAAAAGTTCAATGTTACAAGTAAACTTATAAAATAAACATTTTATTTTACAGAATTGAATTTTTCTTTTATACCTTAACTTTTATAGTACTAGTAGCATTTATAAAACTAATGATTTTCTTCAAAGACTTATAAAATAACTTTTTTGGGTAAAAAGTTTTAAAAGACTTTATACTTAATTTAAAACTACATATAACTCTTGTTCAACAATATTTTATCAGATTTTTCAAAATATTGCGACATAGTAAAATATTAATTTATGTAGATTAACTGCCGTTTGTTATATACGTATATATATAATATAATACCTAATACTTAGATTAAAAATGTGAAAATGAGTTTATTTGTTTGTTAGCTTTCACGCGTAAAGTACTAAACCGTAACCGGCAAAATGTTGTCTGTATTTAAATAAACATATTCGAAATGTGTTTGTACTATAAAAACACAGATAAAAAATAGACCGGAGATACCCGTGGATACCTTATTTACAGTCAGAGGCAAATGCATATGACTGTAAATAAGGTATTTACACGGAACTTCTACCATTTATTTGTCGCATGGATATGTTATATGATATTTCTAAATGTATTTTTAAGAAAATTTAAATCATAGACATTAGATATCATTATGAGAATATAGTATAATAATAACATGCCGTGGCAAAGGCGAAATGATTGTATTCCCTGGAATACTCAGAAATGCTAAACGCCCGTGTTGTTAGTCTCTTAATAATAATAAATAAATCCCAAGTCCAAAGATTATTATAATGTATAATGACATATTGTGTATTTTTTGTAAACATTTTATATCTGTTTCTACCCTCACGGTGACGCAATCCTCGACTGATATTCAATGAATATTGAATACCAGTCAAGACCTGCGACACCGTGACAATTGATGAACTATTTGTAATTTCTATTTGTAAAGTTACATTTTCATTAATTCATTCATCAATTGTTTAATATAATTACTTATAGTTACGAGATTTAACTTTCATTAGCATGGCCTTAATTAGTAGGAATCGCTAAAAACTAGACCGAATACCGCCAGTATCATTGACAATTTTATGACTGTTATAATTTTCTTTAATTATAGCGAAGCATCATATTTAATAGTAGTAGTATAGGAAGTAACTCGGCAACAAAACTGTCGTATTGGGCTAGTTGATGATTTCTATCTGAATCTGGCCACATATATTGTCAAAACCTTATGAGTCTTCTTATGAAGACTTAGCTATTCAATACAATTTAATTTATTTTGAATGGTTCACTTATTCTCCCTTCTCGAATCTATGTAACATGTTCATTGAAATATTATGCTTATTGTCTACGATAAAACGCTACTACTAACTTCAAAATGTATATAATGAGTCAGGATATTTGACAGGAATATATGTGCCTGTAATCGTTGTTTTGGGGTTATATTTAAAAATATTAAATTGATTGTGCTGTCATGACAATTGTTAACCACTAACATAGAAGTATTATAATTACTATATTTAATTGAAGATATACTACAGTTTTAGGAATAAGGCTATGATATAATATAGTTGGGGATTTTGAAAACCAGCATTTTCAGATTTTATTATCCGTGGATTGGCGCGCATTTCCAAATTTTATTCAACAACCATTTTATTTTAATTTAAAATTTAGTCATTTCTATTAGATAGTGTTTTGTTTTTGGGAAATTGTCGTAGTTTTTGGCGCCATGGATAAACTGAAAATTCGTACAATTTTCGAATATGAGTAAATGGAAATACCCTGAGCAAACAACACGAAACAATAACTACATATACGGGCCTAACACTGCTGGCATAAACACGTCCATTATTAGTTCAAACGTATCAGATCTGGAAATTTTGAGTTGAAGATCGAGCCACTCGGTCGGCAGGTAACTATAGTCGACAACGATGAATTGAACGTGATAGTGGAAGCGGGTCGAACTCTATTCTACGGTTGTGCTTTCTGCGGGCTTTGGAGTTAGTGTCAAAACAACATTTAAGCACTTTCGTCAAATTGGAAAGATAAAAACGCTAGATAAGTGAAGTGGATCCGAATACAGCACCTAATCAGTGCGCAAAAAAAAAAGCCATTTACCCATTAGCAGATTGTCTATTTTTATTGGGACTAATCCCGCCCACATGCCCTGCACCACTGTAACTCCTGTACACCAGGATCCACAGCAGTGACCCACGAACACACCGAGTTATGACACTCGGGAAGTCCCAGGAAGAAATTAAACTGTCTTGGAACCGCGTGCAGCGTCTCTTGTGTAGCCTCTAAAGTCATAGACACACACAATAGCAACAATTTCTGTTTTGTCAAATATTTAGCAAGCTAAATATAAACGTATCGTAAATGTCTTATATGCCTGTACCGGTCTACAACCTGAGCGCCGATCAGTCAAAAGTGCATTGCCGCCCTATGAGTGAAATGGGAAGGGTGGAGTTGGGTTTCGGTAACCTCACTCACTCGGTGAAAAGCAAAGAAAAAAATAGATTAACGGTTGTTTTCTGTTGGAACGTGGTATCACACCGATCGTACCGGACCAAATTTGCCGAAGCATTGCTTTCTCAAGGTATAATAATAATGTTTTTTTTGTAATATATTAAAAATTGTACTCAATATGTATATTTAATGTAATAAAGAGAATAATAATAATATTTTCACACATTTCACACACGGCCGTCTGATCCCAAACTAGGCAGAGCCTGTACAATGGTAACCAGACTGCTCATAAACATATATATTTCTAAATACATACATATTATGGATTGGGTATCGAACCCACGATCTCTGGAGTAGCAGTCCGGGTCACTAACCACTAGACCAACGGGCCATTCAGGTATATTATATTAATATCGGCATAAATTAACTTGTCTATGAAATTGAAAGAATCAATAGAGCTCAACGTTTGGACTTTATACCTTGATATCGTTACTTGTTTAATATTTAAGTCTATCAACAGTCAAAAATGTTTCCAAACACTGTAAAGTTTTCCTTTTGTAAGAGTATTAATCAATTGTCAGACGTCTTTTCTAGTCAAAACATTGTTGAGAATCGGGATTTAATAATTAGGCTACTTAATTACTTAATTCGCCATTTCTTAATTTGTATTAATTGCTTAATTTAGGGTAATCTTAATGATTTACATAAGCGTTTAAGTACACCTTTTTAATCACTATTGAGCAATTTAGCATTAACAGAAAATAATTACAAGTTTTATAGGTTGTTACAATAATTACTATGTCACATAACTATTGAAATTGCTTTAGTGCAATCTAAAGCTGTATAATATTACAGTTTTAAGAAGTCCAACGTTTTATTCTGATCTATCGCAGTTCCAACTTCTTTGAAACTTGCTCGCAGCAAATCTTTCATTGTTTAAGTTTTTTAATGACTAATATAACTCAGTATTTAGTAGACTCAACGCAAATGAAGTTTGCCAAAACATGGTTTTGAAACAGGGACATATATTTTAACAGAAAGTTACACGTTTAGGTTTTAATATGAAAGCAACATTATTTTGAAACTATAACAGAGTTGAGTATGTAACAGAACCGCACCGTTTTACTCTCTCTCTTCTTTTAAACTTATTAATAAAGGTTTTTTTTAATTTGCTTGTATATTTAGAACAAACAATAACACATTAAATTTGAAGCTCACCTAGGTCACTGCGTTATGACCAATGTCGTAATTTAATAAACAACATAGGCGTTGTTTATTAAATATCTGCCTGTTCTACTAAAGTGATTAAAACAACATTTTTTTATTCTAGGTATTGTAGTAGGCTACAATACCTAGAATAAAAAAATGTTGTTTTAATCACTTTAGTAGAACAGAATGAGTTATAAATACGCGGAACATACAGTCAAAAGTCAACAAACGTCATACAGTCAACCAACAAATAACCTAAAGCGGCAATGGTTTTAGCCTAGATGCTACACTTCGGAAATATTCTTATATACCACCTAGGTAATAAAAAATACAGGAGGTCTCGTGGCTAAATGGTAACCGAGTTGGTTAGCACATTGAAAAGTTGTGCAATCGTAGTCAGGTCAGTCTATGGATCGGTGACCATTCTTAATACATTGAGACCCCTCCGTGCCTCGTAGAGCATGTTAAGTCGTTGGTCACAGTTGCCATACGAACATCTGTGGCAATCGTTACGGGTAGTTGGAGCCCTAAAAAGTCCGTCAAGAGTCTATCTACAGAATTTCGATTACGCCTTGTATTTGGGTTGTGGAGGTCTGGTTGCAGTCACTCCACATAAACAAACGAAGTTCAGCCACATCGTAGTAGACTCCCAAAGCCAAAGCCAACCTTAACTTAGTTTGGGCTCGGAGGGTCATGAAAATAAAAATCCAATGATGTCCACACTGACCTTTCGGTACACACTAGTGATGAGCACCAGCTTGTCGAATAGGAATAACCTCATTAGTTGTCGTCGTCTGCGTGCAGTGTCCATCGCGTAGAACTCGTTCTGTCGCAGTAGTCGGCCCTGATTTAGCAGGTTCAAATATAGCTGCAACCAAATCACAGGATCAATAAAGTCGCATAATTGTGTTATTTTAGGATTTATCGAAATAGATATAGCGGTGAAGTGCTTCTATTTTTTTAATATAAAGTTTGTTTTTAAGTGACGCGACCAATTATTTTTGGAGTACCGGCGTTATAAATAATCCTACTCATAGTTTTGGAAAACACCGTAAGAAACCCTGCGTACTTGGCAGATCTTTACAATATTATAGAAAAAAAAAAGTGGTAGTTTCTAGATCAAGTTAACATTTATATCTAAGAAAATCAAAACTAAGGCGCATAATTCGTGCTTAATCTATTTTTTCGCTTCTTATTCTCATTCCTTATACAGATATGTACTTTCAAATGAAGAAAGAAATTACCCATTTTTAAATTTATTCGTTCGGAGAACCATAAAATTTTAAATATTTTAAGTTTATTTGAAGAAGAATAGCAAAAAGTTAAACATATACATATATAATTAAATTAAATAAATATAATTAATTATTTAAGTTTATTCGGCCAATGACGTTTCTAGATAATTGCAATCTAGTAGTTACGTTCAGTACTCAATGCCAAAAATAAAATAAAACATATCTACTACTGTATACTAATTAATTAAAACAGAAGAGTTTGTTTATTTATACACGCTAACCTCTAAAAATACCAGTCAGATTTGAGTTATGCTTTTTGTATTAAATACAAAATTATTAAAATAGAAAGGTTGTATATAATGCAACATCTCGCTACTATTATATACTATCTTGCTAAAAGAAAATGCTAAAAGAAATAAATAAAGGAATAAAAAATATATATTCACAAAGAATTGTGAAAATATTTTTAATTATAATAATCTCGTTACATATAAAACTTAATTTCTAGTGCACCTACTCAGACATTTCCCCTCCACCCAAAGGTAGACTGGGAATAATGCCTGTGGCATTTATATATACATATATATATATATATATATATATATATATATATATGGGTCATCCAGGTACTAGTTATAATCGATGCACCTACTTAAAAATCTATGTCGTGCGTATAACCTTATAAACCATGTGTGGTGTTTAACAATTTGAACCCTCACGTTTGGCTTAAATAAATTATAGTTTAAAAAACTAAAAAACACGCTTTTATAGCAAGCCAGACTAAAAAGTAGGAAATAATTTTCTATAGGTTCAAAAAGAAAAAATCGCAATTGTTGTACAAATATTTTACTGACAGATATTTGTAAACTTGAAGTTATTATATTATAAAATACATTGAAAAGCACCCCACGCTTTTTTACTATATTTTTTTTTTGAGATGATAGATATATAGAACTTATAGAAATTTTTAGATTTGATAATTACAAACGCGTGTTTAGTTTTTTAAACTATAATTTATTAATGATGATTATTTTCTTATTACGACAAAAAAATAACAAGTAAGTTACATATTTTTTTAGCACACGCCTCTTACTACGTAGCAAATGACACTACCGTATTTCTAGGTATGGAAAAAGCCGTTAATCCTGACGATCCTGATCAGGATAATCAGACAACTTTATCAAATTTGTGTATTGTCATCGGTCCTTGATAACTGTGTGAAGTTTCAAGATAATTCGACGTTTTAAAGAGTCAAAATCACGGTCAAAGATTCCGTGTCATACATACATACATAGATACATATATACCAAAAAACCTAAAAAGCCAACCTAAAAAGCGTGTTAAAAAATGGAAGATTCCATCTACAAGACGATAAAAGTAAGATAATAATAAACATTATTAAACACAAGAATAAAATCATACATTGAATGGGATGTGTAGACTTTACCTGATAACAATAAGATATCTAAGAATAAATGAAAGATATGATTAATCAAAATGACATTGCATAGTTGAATGTTCCTTCTTTTAGAAAATAAAAACGAGAGCACGTTATTTATATTATTTGTCAAATCATTTGAAATAGTTAAATAACGAGCACGTGTATGCAAGGATTGAAATCTTAGACTAAAAGAGCTGTTACTATCCAATAGCTAATTTCTTGTTTTATTTTATGATTTCTGGTAATCATTTCTCCTTAAATTTGAATTAAAGGAATAACATCAATTCCAGATTATTATTTTGTTTATATGGCTTTTTGTTATATTTTTTTCGAAAGTGTATAAATAATATCGCAAATGAGAAAAGAAGTAAAAAAGTACTACTTTTGTTTAAGATATAGTTACTTAAATTGCAGAAATTTATTCTTATAATAATATCGCAAATGAGAAAAGGAGTAAAAAGCACTACTTTTGTTTAAAATAAAGCTACTTAAATTGCAGAAATTTTGAAACGTATTATACTTATTAATATATAAAATGAAATGATTCTTGATAGTTTATATTACCCTATAGATTTTACTCACCGGACAGTCAGTAATATTTTCCAATGCCATTATTCCATCGACCGCTGTCAACACCCCTTCAATCATAGTTTTCGCCAACTTCAAACTTTCCAATGGAGTTTCGTCGTTATCCGAGGGCTCGCCGTTGCTGCCACCCGTCTCGTCACTGTCTACACTAAGCTTCGATATTCTCGAGTCAGACTCACATCTCTCGTTCTCATAACTCGTATAAGTTTTTACTAAATCAGCCAAAAATAGCTTATACCTTGGTATCCTTTGCACTGGTTCTAGTAAATAACTTGAGAGATCTAATCGATCACCTAATTCTAATTGTATTTCCTGCAAAATTAAGCAGCATGTTAAATTCACTGGGAAATCGATTTAGTCATATCGATCGGTATGATCATTTGTGGTTATGTTTAGTAAACATTGCCTTTCACCGGCTTTCATATGTAATTTAGGTTGAATGATATGTGATCGCAATCCAGCCGTGGGATAACTGGAGCAGAATTAAATCTGAGCAACCAGACTGAGAAGGTTGACATAAGGTAAATAGTACGCGATTAATAATTATATTAATAAAATACAAAACTTTCACTTGCTTAACATCCGGTTTTTGATTACATATTTGAAATTTAATCTGTAATATCCGGTAACTTTGTCGAATCAACTTTTTAGTTATTCATAACGATATACCATTTACCAAATATGTATTTTTGCAGGAATTGAAATTGTACGCCAAACTTTATCGTTTTCGGGAATTTAAATGTATTTCTTCTTTGGGAAAACCTTTAGTTTTAGTTTATTTCGGTAGCCTCTAATAATGATAATGTGTGCAGTACGAGTAATATGTCTTAATAATTATTGTGCATCTGAAACATCATCATCTACATTTGACCATATTTTTGTTATTTTTGTAATGTCTCCATAAAAACTCAAGGGGGTAGGCTAAAGGCTCGTTTCTCAGAAAAAGGAGTCCCCTTTTTTTGCAACATTGCCGATTAAAAGTGAGTTGAATGACGTCATTGAACTTCATTTCATTAACAATGTTGCCATGCTCCGAGGATCATTAAATGCAGTTGTATAATTAATACCTGGTTATACGCAACGGGATATCATTTTTTAGTGTTCGTGGTTGAACAATATCTATGAATGTATAACGGTAGTAGCAACAGTTAGGCGGTTGTTTAACATCGCTGCCGTCCACCGTAAACTAGCAGAAATGAGGAAATCATGATGGTCGTCAACGCAATCGTGATGCGTGCATGCGGCCAACCGATAATGTTTCAATCAATTGATTTATTAAAGTAATATAAATCATATAGGAATTCACTATGGTGATGGTGATCACAATAATGGTGGCTTTCAAACCTTAATGACATACAACTACAGCGGGCCACAAAACATATTTATAATCACAGGTTCTTATTCGGAACTGAGCAGGGCGTAAGACTGATACAAACACTACTTTAAAAGGAAAACGCTTATCGCTCTTTTCATATGGTATGTATTAAATAAACCATGATTTTTAATAGTACCTATCAATAATGACCTCATCGCATCACGCAAAAATAGTGAGAACTTATTCCGTAAAAAGGCTGTATATTTTCTTCATTGAACTGATAAACATTTACCTCATTGTCAATAATAAAAAAACTAGCTAACTAAAACTAGCATCATACTTTACTTAGCAGGTATACTTTGCATTCTATCTTAGTCTACCTAATATCACAAAAAATAAAAGTCATGAATGGTTAGTTAGTAGATAATTTTAACAAGAAAGTGTAGTGGTTTTGAAGTCTGCTAGTTTAAAATTCATCTCCTGGAAATTAAAAGATAACAAGCTAACGTGCCTGCAAATGTATACAATGAATCTACCTATTAAGCTATTAGCCTCGATTCCAATTTCCGATTTTATAATTGTTATCCTTGATGGATGTCATTTTTAATAAAAATCTATTGCCTGAGCTAGGTCTAAACCCTATAACTTGTAAGGTTAAAGATTTTCCGGAAGTATCGTTGTTCACTCTTGACTACCATTTTGATGCTTGGCATGATAACTTTCGCTCTTCCAAGTGTTTACTTTCTCTTTAATCTAAACCCAAAATGAATCTGGTTTACAAATTTGCTGACAGAATGCTCTTTTATCTTTATCCACCACCGATATTAAAATGTTTCGAAAACTTGAATGAGTAAGAAACACAAAACGACTACAAACCAAAACGTGTAAAACTGGGCTTACCTGGAAGAATGGTTTATGTTCAAATACTAATTTTGTCGCTCTTTTATTGTTCCTAGAGTACATTACGTAGAGATTAAATCTTTTCTCCTGAAAAAAAAAACGTTATTGAGTCACACTATTATTACAATGGTGTTTGTATCAAAATGAAACGATAACAGTCAATTGTCACGTAGGTTAGCCACTGAATGTTTCATTATGGCAGGGTTCGATATAACTCTTCAAATAAATCAAGTGAATTTCTTATACTTTCTCCAAATAAAACAGAGTGTGGTATATCGAATAGTTAAGTGTTAATCTGGCGATAAGTCGGTGAACTATGAAGAATTGTCAGACACGTTGATTGATACTACTCGTCCATTGAACTAAGAGCCGTTGTTAGTCAAAGCCCGAGCTCGAGCCGCTTGTATAAATCAAAAGCATGAAGAATGACGATTTTGTTACTACAGTAAAATAGTAATCATAGTCAGTCCATGACACAAATGTTGTTATAACGATTGATTGTCAATTGATCATTACACTTCTTACTCTAGTTAAGAGTAGATTTCATGGTTATTCTTGTACTATTTATATCTAAGAATTATAGAAAATACATTAAGAATCATGGACTATTTAACTGTATTTTAGAGAATTTCTTGGCTACACCAATTTTATAAAAATTGAATAGAAAGCCTTTCTTAAATTAAGTGTTTAAGATACAAAATATACGTATGTATTAATATTATTTTATGCAGAAATTTTAAGAGATTTACTAAAATTTCTCGCATAATTAGCAGGCAATGACTTATACGGATAGTTCTAGCGCGATTCTCGCACACCTCTGACCTTTCGAAGATCATATACGTACTAAAAGTAATTACCACTTGTTATAGCGGTCTAGGAAAACATCATTAGGAAACCGGTTTACTTGAAAGTTCTCCATAATTGTCTAGAAGATTTGTAAAGTCTACCAACCGGAAAGCATTACAAGCCTAGTATTCTGGCTCTCTGTGTGTGGCTTATTTCATTTCGCATTTTATTTTTTGATTATGCGATGTTATCGTCTTATGTTAAGATAGATTTACGTGTTTAATCGGATAGGTAAATGAACTGTAAGTGAAATGAAGTATATTTTAAGCCTGAAGGTACTATCTCAATACCATAGATTTTTAAACCCCGACACATAGAAATCAATTATTTTTGCAGAATTTGATATTTGTAAATATGTTTTCAGTTTTTGTTTCATTCAAACTCTTGTTGAGGCTTAAACACACAATATAAGTACTCACAAATTGTCTAAAACACTGTCCCAATTTCCTGAGATCATTTTCACAGTCTCTTAAAGCAGGCAGGAACTCTTCTGAATGAAACCTGAATATCCTTTCTATATTACCGAATATCTCCGGTTTGAGTCCTTGGAACGCTGCTGACAAGTCCGGCCGGCTCATATGAGGTATATAGTCTTCAACCACATGCCTTAGACGTTCAACGTACACATTTTCTGTGTGTATTAATTCATTCACACGTTCTGTCAGTCGCCTGCAAAAAAAAAGTTTTAAATCAACATCATCGAAGTGTACAGAGTAGAAATAAATACAGAGTAGCTTGCAAACCATACAAGAAGGAGACCATTATACGTTAGCTAAATACCTAATAATAATAGCTAATAAAAATAGCTAATACTATAACCTAATTATGATGGACTGATTTTTAAACGACGAAACAAAGCTAGGCACAGTCTTTGAACACGAACCTTCCAACCAAAAAAATAATCTAAATCGGTCTATCCGTTTGGTAGCTATCATGCCTCAGACAGACACCGACTAACACACGTTCAATTTATAATACCCCTCTTTTTAGCGCAAGTAATTAAACATTAAGCCAAACTTAAATAGAAAATCGGAACCTATGATAGCAAAGATAAGGAAATAAACACTGAAGATACCAGGTAACTAATAATGCAGATGTATATTTTTTGTGAATAAGGTATATTTGTAACACGTGTTTCTCATACAAATTGCTTGTCCGAGATAAAGATACAAAAGTTGCAATCCAAAGAATTCAGGAAATCGGACGGCAAGGTCAATGTCAGGGTTATCAATTAAATGAGAATATGTCACGTACTTGATTTTATACAAATGTAACGCGTGTTATGTAGATATTTTAAAATCCTCTATTATAGAATTATTATTTGCACAAGTACAAGTGGCTTCGTACTTCAGCCGGGGATTTTATAACCTTATAAATTTAATTGGGAACTGATAAATCATTATGTTAAAGAAAAGCCCATTCAGAGCCTTATTAGTCTACACTTTATACTTTACTTCAAATTTAGGAATTAATAATAATTGTATATAAATATTATTAAATTAAATGACAGGACGCCTTATCTATATTTATAAAAGAGAAATTGCTGTACACTAGTCTCGCTAAATAATCATAGGAAATGTTAATTCCTGTCAAGCAATTCATATTCGTCCCGTCGTCGGAACGATAAACTCAGATCTCCTCAAATTAAAGAACATTTTAAATGAGAGCTACTATTACATGTATATACTAGCTGAGACCCGCGGTGTTACCCGCGTTTGTAGTTACAACCGCGGGCAACGCCGTGGGGCGAAGCTAGTCTAAAACAAAAGTAGCCTAAGTTACTCCTTATGTCATCAGCTATCTGCCAGTGAAAGTCCTGTCGAAATCGGTCCAGCCGTTCCAGAGATTACCAGGAACAAACAGACAGACAAAAATTGTAAAAAATGTTATTTTGGCATATTTACCTTGTAAACATATGTACATATGCATTTAGTAAAAAGCGGTTATTTTAATATTACAAACAGACACTCCAATTTTATTTATTTGTATAGATAAAGGATGACAAGAAGATGTAGGTGATACGAAGGAAACCGGGTCATCTAGTTCCTCAATAAAGAGTTAGCTGTCCTGTTCTACCCGACTACTTAATACTGGTTATTAACTTCAAAGTTAAATGCTACAAAATCCAGTGGTATTTAGACATATTATGTAATTGCAATATAATTTCACGATTTCTTTGCAAAGCCTTGAAGTTATCAACATAGAAAAGTTACTACAGTAATTGGTCGTTGTCAGAATTTTTGTAATTGGGATCATAGTGCAATCACTGAGAATTTCATTTGTTTTTTATTAACGTCTGCCATTAAACATAATACATGAACCAGATTATATAATCCAAAAAATTGAAAATTTTACGAATATAATTTATAACACGTGACATGTCTCAATAACAAATGGCTTCTTATAAAATAAATAACATTTTATTCAATTGTGTTGAGCTTGAGAGTGGCATATTTTCGAGTAATCATCAATGTACATTAATATGTGTGGAGAAATCGGTCTTACACACCCCTTTTTAAACAAAGTTTATGCACGGATGAATGTGTTAATTAGAACACTTTCAGTTTGTATGTATATATACGAGTATAATATATAGACATGTCATTTTCATCCTTAGTGTAGTTTCTCGAATGCCAGATCCATAAAATAAGTAGCAAGTAATAATAATTACTTAACACATCTCGCAAACGTCAACGGTTATTAGATAAAGAGATCATTAAGAGTAGTTTTAATAATAAAGTACTAATGAACAGTTTATTAATTCGCCTGTTTTATATATCTGCACCGATATTTGTAATCAATGATGTTAAAGAACTTTCAACATAAAGACAATTCCTAAATCCCTGTAATAATACAATTTTTTATAAAATCTTTGAAGAAGTCTCCTGATGCGCAAGCCCGAAAGAGACTTGACCACGCCGTCTAATTATTACCACTACACAGATATAGTACCACTACTGATATTTTCGATATTTGTTTACAGTGACGTACAAAAATGTATAATACTGAAAACATACCACTGCTATGTTATGCAGTCCTGGGACATGCATTTTAATTATCTCCCAAACATTCTTGTTGCTCAATGAATTGCCAGTGCGCTTAAAATATTCATCTGACCTATGAATCAAGATCGTAAAAAAGAGTTTAAATTCTTGAATCACATTTATTTCGTTTGGATATTTTATGAAATAACTATGAAAAATAGACACAAGAATCAGGGGCAACCAAAGATAGTAATATTCTTCATCTGTGGGGTCAACCGAGTAATCGCGTTTTATTTGATCGAATTAATTACTACTCATAAAACATTGTATCAGTGAGTAAGGTTAATTTTTACTATCGTGATAAAACAACCCTGGCATTTAAAACAGTCAATTGTGAGACAGAAATATATAGGATCTATGATAGCTACAAGCTCAGGGCAGTTGCCAAGTAAACTTGAAATTATGTATCTAAAATTTATATCAACCTTTCAGGTCAACAGATAACACTTTTCACTTCGAAGAGCCACTTCTCTCTATTTCCGACTAGGACTATAATTTACCAGAGTTAAACTTTAAGCAAGACTATGTTCACTGCTTCCAAACCAAATCTCTCTCCCCTTAAATTTTTAAGAAATATTTTGTTAGGACCACTCGTGTTTTCGTATATGTATGTATTCCCAGACGGTTTCCGCTGTTTTGTAATTATGAAGTCAATAAATGAACTAACCATTTGATGCATTGGTTAAAGTAGGTAAATTAAAAATTATATTACATTATTGCTGTCGACAACATTTCTTGTTGCGAGTGCTACACTCTTTCATATGTAGCACATTAGTGAACGGCACCACGGGACGTATAAGTACCAATTATGTTATAATCATCGTTCATAAAGGCTTACTGAAAATCATCATTAATATAGAAATTTACATCTTTAGTAGCCACTTACAAACCTAAACGCATATTTGATATTTTCCCAAACCTACAGTATCTCTCTGTAATGTCATAATATAATTTTCGTACACCTTGCTTCGGCAGTACATTTTTGATAGTACACTATACACACACAGAAATTCATTTTTATTATATAGAAGATAAGAAGAAACATCACAGGTAATTGAATTAGTTTTAATTCCAAATTAAAAGTAATTAAGATTTCGTTTATTAAAATTTAATAAAATATTAGGCAAATGAAACACTACAAATAGAAACACTTACAAAAATAGGTGTTAAGCTAAATTCACCTCTATCTTTTATATTTTAATTTCCTAGCATAAAATTAAAACAAAAACCACGACTATTTCTTTTTCAAGGCTCTTTTATTTAATTTCACCTAATATATTACATTTGGCATTACGTAACTTGAACAAATGTAAATTGGGTTTGGATTTTTCGTAATGCATGTACAATTAATGACTTGACTTTTAACAAAATTAATTACCATGTTAAACTATATATAATATACAATAGGATTTTTTATTCTGTTTTAGCAAATTGCTTTTTAGTAAGTTTCTAGTTTGTTTTTTTAACAAGAATTAACAGTAACTGATGTCCATGTAGGGACGGATTAAGATTACAGAGTGTCACCACCCCTTTTCACAACATGGGTGTCATAAGAGCCAACTAAGGGAGCAAACACACACAAACACTGCAAAGAGAAGGAAAACTTGACACAAACCCTAACCAACCCGTCTGGCCAGCGTGGTAAAGTAGGCTAAAACCTATATTCTAAGGATAGGCCTATGTCCATCAGAGGACCAATAAAGGCTCTTGACGACGTAACAATAGTACCTGCCTAAAGTATGACTATATGCTTATATATATTATTTCATTAAAGTGTATTGATAGCGCAGTAGATTTGTCATCTCGGCGCATGTTTAACATGATTTTTTTTTAATTTAACTATTACCTAATAACCACTTTTCTACCACTTATGGCTCATAAAAAGAAAGTACATTTGGAAATACCATTGCTTTAATGACGTCACTTGCCGTCTTTTCGTAATGCGTCATCATCGCTTGTAGGTTAAGCGAGTGACGTTCAGAATAGATTATATGTGTACATTGGTATGTAAATCTTTTATATTTTTATCATAAACCTACTTGAGGTAAATGATTAAGATTGATTGATGATTGATTAAGAATATATTTTATTAGTAACCATTACATTTCATTTATCTGTTGGCCATGTAAAGGATTAGATTATAATATTTCTAGACATTGTAAAACAACCTTGACGCCTTCCACGATTTAGGTAAAGTATAAATGTGGGCTAATCTATATATTACTACAAGCACATTCCTATATATAAATATACACTAACGATCGTAAATACAAGAACAGCCTTGGCATCTTCGCGGCGCGTGCGCATCTATACTTATACAATATGTGACGTCACTACACCTACCTAATTAGACGCTGACCAATCTGTACTCTGTAAATGAGTGTGCCCCAGTATGTTAAAAATATTATTTTATTCATTGATGACTATTTAACTAATCATTTCAAAAACGCTCTGCAACAGTGTCAATTATTATCGATTATTTAATAAAAATGGTCTGTTCGCTATAAATGTGACCTAAGGCTTACTGCATCCTCTCATGAAGATGAAAGGTCATTGCAAACCACACCGCGACCACGATGTCCTTGCAAAGACAAACCTCAAAAATCCGAAAAATTATCTGTCTGT